ACGACGACGACGACGACGACGATGCCGATTGCAAGTTTTGTTGTTGCTATTCCCATTGGATTTGCCAATCTTCTGGTCAATGTTACTAGCATTGGCGCCATATTGTCCTCGTCCTCGTCCTCGTCCTCGTCGTCGCCGTCTCTGTTGTCTGCTGCTTCATTTAGTTTTGTCCTGACTGCTACTACTGCTGTGCTTCGTCGGTTGTCTTTATTGAAGCCTGTTAACAGATTTGTACGAGAACCCGACACCGGCGAGGGCTCGGAGCGCTGAGACGCACCGCGGGAGACCTGACATGTACCAGGATTGAGTCGCAACATACCAGAAATAGCAATCATCGTCACCATCATCATCATCGTCGTCGTCACCACCATTCCGTCATCGCCACCATTCGCTCATAGCCATGTCGTCACCATCATCATCACGGCAACATCAGCATACCATCCCCACCACCATCGCCGCTATCACTCGCAATCACGATCAGACTGAGTAATCGCATGGGCTCGGCGAAAACGAGATCCCAAGAGGAATAGTAGCAGCAATGGTACTGGTCGTAGGTACAGCATGGTATAGAGCGGTAACTTAACAAACTGACAAAGTAGGCATTTCTCATTCTCGTAACTAGCTAGCAGTAACCGACAGTAGATTCAGTAGATGATCTGATGCAGGGATTGTAGTTTTCACTATAGCCATAATTATAGCAATCATTGCATTAGCCATTACAGTAACCCCCCTAATAACCCTTGGCCTAACCGCCTAACCCTTGTGAGAAGCAACAGATCTCTGAGGTCTCAGCTAGGCAGTGGTTGCCCCGAGCTCCCCAGCGAATCTGAACGACACAGCTTGAGGTTTACGTCCGGGTGGACCTAAACCCTAAACCCCAAACCCTAATGAGGCTTTAGGATCTGGCGTGAGAGTCGCAGTGCATGCAAATCTTGCTACTAGCCCACTAGGGCGTAACACGAATCTGTCTGCGTAAATACACATCAACCTGGGTGGACATTGATTCGGGGAGTTACACGTAAGTACCCAGAACGCATCTTAACTCCAGTGAAGGCGCCAGATTTCATTGTCAACGCGGGAAGCCTCAAAACTAACAACGTTTGACTTTGTTTGTGTAGACCCGTGGCAGTGGGCCTAAACCCTCAACCCTCAAAAAGGAGATTCTCGTTTTTGTTTCAGCACAAACCACGCAAAGCTCTTTCTTCGTCCAAGGTCGTAGCGAGCAGAACTATTCGAAGCCGATGCTGCCACCAAGAAGTAGAGGATTCGAGTCCCTTCAATGTTCCTGTAAAAGGGCTCCACAAGGGTACTACAGCCGTTTTGGGTACAGTGGCCCAAGTAACTTGCACAAGGTTTTGGGGTATATTGTAGTCTACTCGTTTACAGACTACAAGACTATAGGGGTGTACCATCAGTAAATATTCCGACTCCTGTCAGCATATTCTTGCATCAGTAGGCTCTCTGCAGGCACAAGGAAGCCACTTGCTTCTCGAACGGCATTTCACCACATGCTTGTGCCGCCTGCCGTCTCGCCCCGAAGCCGTGAGAAGCATCGTAAGGCATGGCCACCTGTGAGGACCGCACTTCATTTAATAACAAAAAGGAGAAGAGTAGCAATATGTATACCGTTCTACTAGCAATAGCATTCATGGTATTGGGATTAGGTGATGATGATGATGATGATGAGGGATGAAACAATGCGAATGCTCTAATTACTCCCGCTGAAGATCCGGATAGACAGGAACAACTCAGCTGGATGTATGCTTAACTATGGTGATAAACAGAACCCAGAGTGTGGCACCGACGCTGCACTGAACTAATTTGCGGGCCTGCGGCCGGACATGCCCAAGGCAGTGCCCCATGAGTCAGCAAAGCGTACATGCCGGTATCGGCAGCATGTGTGGAGATTCGGTTGAAAAAGTTTGTTTAACTCTTGAAAGACTGAGGCCGCTCATGGCACTCTGTGTGTGTGTGTGTCTGTCTTCATTGCGAGTGGTTGGATGGACCGCTGACCAGACATTCTGAGGTGAGGCTGCTACAGCCTAGAACCAGGAGCTTCGCTTCCATTGCAGACTTTCGGCACGTGGGCTTAGGATTTGGAGGCTTTGCCACGTTTGAAGCCCCAGTAATCATGGAAGAACGAGCCTTGAGCTACTGACTACTGGGGCTGCCGAGCAAAGTTCTTAGAGGCTTCAGGGCCACCAGCCGGAACAAGGCCACACATGGACATGTGGGAGCAGAAGACCGCGGAAGCCACATCCTGTGCAACTGAAACTGGGAGTGGCATCGTGCGCATGTCTGGCCTAGAAAACTGAAGACAGCTAAGGCGGCTAAGGACGGCTGCTGATCTGCCCGAAGACTTGTCGAGGATTGCATGGACTTTGTGTACCCGCGGCAAGCTCGTGCACCAAATCATTTCGTGTCTCTGCAGAGGTGCGTGCAACACACCTCTTGCTAAGCCCATTCGGTCCTGAGAGCTGTACGCGAAGCCGGGCCTACGGCCTACGGTCGGGGACACAAACCGAGCTCCCAAGAAAAAAGTCGGAGCTCTGCAGAAGGGCTCCTTAGAAGCTCCTTGCGAGTCCCAAGCGCAGAACCGCACTTCCGGCAGCTGCGCTAAAACACCGGACTCTCCATGAGAGCACCGGCTCGAATTGCCATGCCTCAGCCGTAGCGGCTGTAGATCTCCGTCAAGGAGGCCTGTGCCAAGGCATGCCACTCGGCATTACAGGGGAGGATCTCACCTGGAATCGGGGAAGCGCCGCCGCCTTGACCAGCAATGGGAAGGTGGTAGCACTCCTCTCCAGATCCTGCAGACTTGCACCAAAGTTCATGGCCAGTTTTGCACTCAGTACGAAGTAAGCTGGAAATTCCATCAAGAAGGCTTGAGGCCAACTTTGGACTGCAACGGGCCTCCAGGTAAAGCACGACCTCCAGGCATCGCCATGTGAAAAACGGTGCATCCCTCCGTGTGTGTGTGTGTGTACTTGAATCCCACACTCTCCTCTTCTCCGGTCTGCTGCCCAGGTGCAGCTTTTTCGAAGATGGGTTTCACTCGGTGATGGGCCAAGAACTCCTTCACCACCTCCGCAACGTGGAACCAGCATGGGAAAGTCGGAAAGCTTGTTTTACCCCCGCCCCCGGCCGAGTTGTAATCGGAGCTAGTCTGCCAAGGCGAGACCGTGAGCGTAGCGCGACCTCAAGAGATCTTCACAGCACCACACCACAACTGCCCGAATGCAAGCTACACATTGCTTCGCCAGGCTATATGAGGAAGGCACCACTGCTGGCAGGACCTGCAGCGGCAGGAGTGTTCGAATGGCTGCCCGGCTGCAGTCGATCAGCTTTCAAGCTACGCTCACCTGTCACTTACCCAAGATCGCATGACCCGCGCTTGCCAAGCGGCCAAGGTCAATCTCCGCAGCGATGAGCACCGATGGCACCAGAGGCGTGGCTTCGCAGAAGCTCGGCGCTGCGCCTTCTTGCACTCGGCTTCAGGGCAGCTTGGAGCTTTGGGCCGAACACTTCCGAGCCCTTCAAAACAACACCTCGGCCTCGCCTGCCCCATGGTCAGCACCGGGCTCTGGTGTGCTGCGCCCTGCCGGAGGTGGACTTTCCAGTGCCGTTTGCCGCTTTGAGAAGCCGGGAGCCTCGATCATCCAGTGTAAATGCAGGGCTTGACCAGCCGTCCTGCGGCAAGGACTCGCCATATCTCGCCATGACCGCAGCAGAGCAGGGGGAAGATGCGGGAAGCTGAGAGTTGCTAATCTGCTAAATCTCGCCACAGCCCCTAATTTAGGCCCTTGCCACCTTGAGCAAGACCTCAGGGTCCTCGCCAACCTCGGTCGTCCCGAAGACCCCGAGAAACCTGGCCCCTCAAGACAGCCCCTTCCAGGCTTCCAGAGCTCTTTTTACTCTTTTTCTCTTACAGTCGCAAGCATCCCCAAACCTTGAACCCTGGGCCCTAAGCATCCCTAAACCCCAAGCCCCGAGGCCCTAGGCCTTGGAATTCTGAAAAGCTCCTGGAGCCCCAACTCACGTCGAAGCCCTCCGGGGCCTGAGACTTCGAGGCGAGCTGTACGAGCCCCTGAAGGGACTTGGGGGTGTTGGGGCCTCTATCAGAGTGGTGTTTTGGGGGGTTTGGGGGGGGTTTAGATGCGGTGCCGCTCTTTGTCCCAGCCAGCCCCCGCTCTCTCCTCATAACCAGGGAAAGGCTTAGGGTTATATTATATGGGTTAGGGGGCCTGTGTTGGGGGGTTTTAGGGGGCTTAGGGTTTAGGGTTATATGGGTTTAGGGTTATATGGGTTAGGGATTGGGGCTTTAGGGCCGGTCGGGCGGCAGCTGCAAAGACTTTGGGGCAAAGCCTTGGTGCAAAAAAAACCCGAATCCCGAAAGCGGTGAAGGGCTCAGGATTCTCTGACGCCACTCCAGGACCTTTCTTGTTTTAACTGCGGGATTGAAGGCTCCGGGGTTGGTGCGGCAGAGCTTATGGCTGTAGGGCTGTTGGGCTCAGAGTCAGGTCGTTGGATTTTGTTCAACTGCTCTTCTCCAACTGCTGCGACAGCACCCCACAGTCCGTTTGGCTCGGCACTCCGCAGCGTTCGGGCTGGACATTTTTCAGAGTGCCATTCAACACTGCACGGCTTAAACTCTCGAGAGCCAGTGCCGGAATCTCAAGCTTGCGACTTGCCCAGAATCCCAAGGCCCTCAGCGCCCAGACCCTGAACCCTTGTGCACCTGGATCTCGTCTTCTAGCTGGGTTTGCCTTCGCACCGCAGCAGCCTCCTGGACAGCACGAGCAAAGAGACGATAAGGTTTCCCGCCGCCCCTCTTCTAGGCTACGAGTTGGTGGTTTGGGGTTAGGAATCTACGTTTCAGGGAAACCACGGAAACTTGAGCCGGAACGGCTCGGTGTGCTTAGCCGGCAGTTTATCCCAGGTGCTCTTCTGTGGACAGGTGACACGAGCAGGTTGAGATAAGGTTATCGGCTGAGCGGCGGCCAGGAAGAGGGGTTGGTGTTGTCTTTCTTGTTTGGGTAGCTGCTGGCGTTCGGCAGGATCGATCATACAGACACAGACAGACAGCGGCCACAGCTCCTCTGTACAACTTTACAGCGCGTGCACGTACATGTACGCGTATACCTGCACATACACATGCACATGCACAGACACATTGACACGTACACACGTATATAGATAGGTATGTATGTACATATACATATACATATACATATACATGTACATGTACATATACATATACATTTCCATACATCTCTATATACGCATACACATACACATACACATATAAATAAATAAATACATAAACAAGTAAACAAATATATATATATATAGGTCTGTTTAAAACATGTAATACACATACACACACATACACACGCACGCACGCACACACACACACATATACATGCATGCATGCGTACGTACAGACATACAGACAGACAGACAGACGGACGGACGGACGGACGGACGGACATACACGTGTGCATGCATGCAAGCATACATACATGCATGCATATATACATGCATGTATGCAGGTACACACGCATATACATATGCATGCTCATACACATCGACATGAAGACATGTACAGTCGTACATCTCTCCAGAAAACTCATATACTTATATAATAGAATGATGTGCGGGAGAATGGACGGACAGACAGACGGACGGAGATACGGACACGACACTGCGCACAACTGCACAAAAGCACGGTCAGCAGAACATCAGCCACTGCCGACCAGGTCACAACAACGACAAGTAAAAGAATAAAGAAGCACCAGCAGCAACAGCAGCAGCAGGGAGAACAATCTGAAACTGCTAGGTAACATCACGAATCATTCACCGACGTCCTGCTCCTGAAGCCTTTCACGCAGGGACTCCATCTCGGTGTTCGCCTGGCAAAAGAAGCCAAGTCGGGATAGGGTTTAGGGGTTTAGGGGTTTAGGGGTTTAGGGGTTTAGGGGTCTAGGGGTTTAGGGGTTTAGGAGTTTAGGGGTTTAGGGGTTTAGGGGTGTAGGGTTTAGGGCTTCAGCACGCTCTGCTGGGCTGTCATTGCATCTACAGTAGTGGGGTTGACTATGAGGGTGGTTGCGGGGTTCGGGATTGTCATAGGGTTACTACAGGGATGACCACGGGGTGACTACGCTTACGGATCCTTCTAAGGGGTACTCTAAAACCTTATTTTGCAATGACTCTGACTGACTCACGATGCCCTCTCCCTTGAACCCTAAACCCTAAACCCCAAACCCTAAACCCCAAACCCTAAACCCTCAAGAAAGAAATAAAAAGAAATNNCTTGTTGCTGTTGGCCATTCGAAAGCTCATATTTTCGGTCGGGACACATTGTTGCCATTTTCGAATAAACCCAGCCCGCCGAGCCCAGCCCAGCCAATAGCCCAGCCACGCCCAGGCCCCCAGGCCCAGGCCCAGGCCCCCCACAGCCCAGCCCAACCCAACCCCAACCCGGCCCCAACCCAACCCAGCCCCACCCAACTCCAGTCCCCAATCCCATCCCCCATCCCGCCCTCCAGGCCCCCAGCCCCGAGCGCCCCACCCCCAACCCCGGCCAGCCCCCAGCCCCCAGCCCCCAGCTCCCCACCACCCAGCCGCCCAGCCCAGCCCAGGCCAGCCCAGCCCCTCCACTCAGCCCAGCACCCAGACCCAGATTCAAAATGTGGTTCCAAAAAAAAACTCTGTCAAAACGTTTCGGTCAAAACTTTCGGTCAAAACTTTGGCACCCAAACCCTTAACAATTTCTATAAACCCCAAACTCTAAACCCAAAATTCCTCGAAGTCTCCTGCGGCCTGCAGCAGCTGGGCTGCCAGGGAAGCATTCTCATCCTGGAGCCTGGCAGCTGGCACCCTGGGGGCCCTTTTTTTGGTCAAGGGTTCTAGAGCTTAGGGGTTTCTCAGAGCGTACGGGTTTTAGGGTTTAGGGCTTCAGGGTTTAGGGCTTCAGGGTTTAGGGCTTCAGGGTTTTGGATTTCAGGGCTTCGGCTTCAGGGTCTAGGACTTAGAGCTTAGATTCTCTGCACCGGTTCTGCGCATGTCGTGGAAAGCTGCACGACCATCAGCACACTACTAATCAGATGCCTGCCTCTGTGGGTCCATGGGCTACAAAAAGAGCCATGAAACCGGGCAAAATAGCAACGCTCACAATACCCCAGCTGAACAAGAGTCAAGCGCAAGCCAGACAATTCGATGTGCCTTCCGTCTGGTTGCCAACATCTGGCCATGATTGATCAGCATTCGGGATTCGGATGACAAAACGATAATGCAAAACCCCAAACCCTAATCCCCAACACAATCAGGCTAAACCCTAACCCTGAATTCCGAAACCCTGAGCTGTTTTGCTACGGCTGATGATATAAATCCTGCATTACCCATAATAAGGAACATACCATGATTCTCATAATTTAGGCCCCTTAAGGTGATGCAGGATTTATATCACACGTCATAGCGCTACCAGTCTTGGACCCCGGCCTGCTCAAAGCAGACTGGGCTGTAGACTTTGCCGCCTGCCCCGTGTACCGTTGATAGGAGCGCTTCTTCTCGGGATGGGGGTTCACGGCCTCGGGTTGACGACTACATAAACCTAGGCGGAACGCCTATAAATCCGTAGATACAAACCCCTCCACACCTCCACAACCTGCAATTTCGGCTTCGGTAGAACCCGGTAGAAGTTGGAGAGTGTGGCCCCGCCTGGCAGTGCTCGAGCTCCTGTGAAAGTTGTCGGACCTGGCGCTGTTAAGCATGACCTACTCTCGTCCTCCTTCACCGGTTTGGTTTTTCATGAAACATGAACACGGACTTGCGAAGAGGAAACTTCAGTCTGACTCGACTGATACACAGAGAGTCTGTGCCGGCATGCAGCTCACCTGTCCCTGGAGCGCTGTCGATGCAGCACTCATCTGCTGGCGCAGCTCCTAGCAACTTCCCCTAAGACTCTAACCCACAAAGCCCTGAGGTTTGGGTCCCAAACGCCGGCCGACCGTGAGCTGGAAGGTTTGTTCGTGGCTCGGGGTTCAGCCAAAGGCAGCAGCTGCTAAACTTTTGTCCTGTTACTTGCAACTGCTACTGTTTCCTTGCAGACCATTTTCTCTAGACCTGAAACTGCATACTCAGCCTTAAACCCTCAACCCTACACCCTCAAGCAAAAAAATTCAAGCTGTATGTTGAGCAGTGCCGGTTTCTTGCGGATTCTTGCGGCTTCTAGCAATAACAGACCGGAGAAGGGCAGGGCAGGACAGGGTCGGGGTCGGGGCAGGGCATAGGCAGGGCAAGGAAAAGCAAAAAAAAAAAAAAGACCGCCAAGACTCCGCACCCAAACCCTATTTCAACTTCTTTCAACCCTAAACCCTAAACCCTAAGCCCTAAGCCCTAAACCCTGAGCCCCCAAAACCCCGAAACTCAGCCCGAGGCGGTCCTGCTGCCTTTGCACCGCCTGCTCCAGAGCCTAAGCAAAAGACGGCTCGTGCTCCACTATGTTTTTTATGATAACATGTTATATATAATACTTTGTTGTAGTATAAATTCGGCAATATAAATGGTACATGATAGCTTATATATATATACATATATCCCAACATATTGTATATTGTACATTACATTCTATATTCTATGTTGTGTAACGGATTCTATCAAGTATGCATTACATTGTTATACGTTATGTGCTCTACATTATGTATTATATGTTACGTAACAAATGTGAAATGTGACATCTTGTACATAATATATAACATTACTATACTAAATTATAGTATATCATATCATAATAGATTGCACTTTGCTCTTATATACTATATTAGTATTGCACCACATTATGATTTATTGTATTATATTCATTTATGATGCATTCTGTTCTATCATGCTATATTATACTGGATCAGAGTATACTGCACTGTACTATATTATATTATAGCGTACTATGTTATATTACATTATACTGTATTGTATTATTATGGTTATATGAGATATGTTACAGCACATGGTATTTTATGATAATGTAGTGTAGTGTGTTATACCGTGTTGTTTATTAAACTGCATTATACTTATACTCTATTGGGATTGCACCTACCCTATGTATTTATATTTATGTCATAATAAAGTCTCTTACCTACTCTTCGCATTTTCTTTGTGCTGTGTTATCTATCTGTCTGCCTGTCCATCTATCTATCACGATCTATCCACCTATCTATGTACATTTGGATATAGACACGGATACAGCTGCAGATACCAGATAGAGATGTAGACATGGACATGGGTATACATGTAGAGGTAGATGTAGAATCAGATGTAGACATAGATATAGCTATGGATGTAGATGAATGTAGGTACAGACGCAGATGCACATCTAGAAATAGATCTAGTTTGGGAATTGGCTCAGAAAGATGTTGGTATAGATATTCTTCGACTGGATCAGGCTAGATCATACAATAGTAGGTTGTACTATCTTACATTGTGATCGCATTTAGAACTTTTGGGCTTCGTGTCGTCTGAGAGGTGCCTCCTCCTTCTCCGCGAGCTCCTCTGAGGCTTTCTGGAAAGCGTCTGCATTCTCCTCGACCAGGGCCTTGGCTCTTGAAGCTTCAGCCTTGGAGCCCAATCTCTTCCGGAGATCTCGTGAAACTCTTCTGCCAGGTCTCACCCAAAAAACGGATGCCTCAAGAAGTGTACAGGTAGCTCGAAGACTGGGGATGCCGCGCCCTGATCGCTGCATCGATTCTGCAGTTCGACCATGCTGAACTGAATGTTGAGCATGTCCTCCTCCTGCGGAACGCACCAAAATAGAACCGTGCGGTGCCCTAAACAGTCTAAGCATCGCAACAAAGTGCAAAAAGAGTCAGCACAGACCAACCCTGTTGTTCAATGTCGCAACGAGCCTTCTGCGCCAAGCCATCACTGAGATTGCGAAGCTCCCTCAGTCAGCAAAACATGCCGTGTTGGGGACAACCTGCGAAGCTGAAATCTGGTGCACCTGGTTAGACCATTTTCGACAACGAAGGACAAACACAGAGAGCGACAGCAACCACTACAACCACGACCACCACCAATACGGCCACCGCCACCACCATAAACACCAACAACAATCAGGACGGCTGCGACCACGACTATGACGAATGTAGCAGTATCCGGCTGCCCCTGCGGCGACTGCCAATATGCTGCTAGTACTGGAAGTGTTGCTAGCACTAGTAAGTAGACCAGCACGATTGGTACAACTGTAGTGTTGGTGTCTTCGTATCCCGATAGATGTTGTCCTTTTAAGTTCTGGGCACATTAGCTTCGACGGGTAAACTGGGTAATGACCCGTCCTATCGGCACTTTGGGCATAACCTGTACTGCTGGTGATTATTCATATATCCAGAGGCACTAGTTGCTTTGGTGGACTTTGGTGTAGAAGTATCACAAATACTCTTCGCCACAGCCGCTTGAGTGTACCACTCATGGAACAAGTTACCTACGGTAGCTCCGATGCGGCAAAACTGCGGAAAGCACTGAGCTCCAGAATCCACCATCAGAACTAACGACAACTTTTGCCAGTGTGAATTAATGCTGCTAGTGAGGCCAGAAGTGTGACTGATATTGATATTCAGCCACAGTGTAGCTGATTGACATCACGAGCATCGGTCGTAGCCTTTCTAGCAACCAAGAAATAGACTGACAAAAGTTGTTTTGATCGGTATTCGCATCCTTCTGGAAAGTATCTTGATTGGAACTGCAGCTCTGCATAAGACTCGTGCACCCAACTATTGCCTGACTTGCCTTGTGTATCGACCTGAAGGATTCCAGAACATGCAAGGCTCATTGCGCGTACTAGTCTTGGTAGTACTGATGGCCGTGCGAAACTGGCTGAATGAACGTCGGTGTGCGTTTCATGCTTGTGGGTGGCAACCGTGCGGTAGCTCTTGTAGCAGTAAGTTTATAACTGCCAAGCAGCTCTTGAAGCATCTGTACCTCGGGCCAGTGAAATGACGGCAGGGTCAGCTTTGGCGAAGACGACATCTCCCGCCCATCACACATCATCACATCATATCACATCCTTCGAACCAGCTGCAACCTCGTCAAGGCTCCAGACTAAGCCCTCCAGCAAGCGTCCTAAGGCCGGACTCATTGATTCGTACCAGGTTAATGCGCTTTATGTGCGACGGTCCCACCCGCACACGAACCGACCTGCCTTGGCATCTCGCTGTTCCCGCTGACCTTGAAGAAGCCGCGATGCCTGGAACGGCTTCGCAAACAGACATGGGCTCTTTGTTGCCATACCATCCTCCACGTTCCTCCACTACAAGTAACATGCATCAAACATGCTTGTCTTCAACATCACTAGAACCGCCTGCTCGCCACCAGCGGCATCATCAGGAAATGCATCAGCATCAGCATCCTCATCATCTGCTTCTGCAACTGCCTGACTCAAAAGGTGGTGATGGTGGAGGTAGCGGTGGTGACGGCGACAGTGGTGGTTGTGGCAACTGATACCCTTCCTCCCGCGGCACGCTGTTCATGAACCTGGCCTCTTGATGGAGGTCCCGCTCATTGGCAAGCTCTTGAGACAGCCTCTCAAGCTCCTGCCGCACGGGGCGTGAGAATCTCACAGCAGTCCGCAAGCAACCTTTAGCTTTTGGATCTCAAGGCTCAGGCAGATCAGGTAGTTTGGCCAATTTAAGGCTACAACATCCTGCCCCAAACCGGTGCAAAAGCCGTGGTGGCCCGTCCTGCCGGTGAGATTCCTTCAAGGCTTCCAACTCCTTCGGGAATGCTGTGGCCCAGCTTGGCAAGAGTAGTCCTTTGGGTTCCTTCTTTTCGTAACGTTAGAAGGTACCCCAGAGCCCTATTCCAATCATTACGGCTCCTATACTAAGTGTTTCTTCTTCAAACTCACGCGAACGGCCAGAGAGTCTGAACACCAAAATCCCTCACATGTTCAGGATCTCTTGGTCAGCTCAGAAAAGGTCGTCCTCCGGCCGCACGACCAGTCTTTGCTCCTGTCAGATCCCAAGATCATGCGAGGGAAGAGCCGGCTAAATCTGCAGAGTTGGGTCTTGGATCAGCTGCAGATGTCGACACGGCCCTAACACTGACTTTCGCCAGTGCGACTCTAGCCTTCGTCATGCAAATTTCGACCGCCACCCGCCTTGAGTCGGCGGAGCTCTGCATCCAGCTGCTCACACTGTCTGGACTTCTTGTCTAACCTTGTTTTCCGCGAGGGCGACGGCAGATGAAGGCTTGGGGGGCATCTCATCGTATTATACACGAGTTTGGTTCTTCGTTTGGTTGGTTAGGCCATACGGTAAACTGTGCATTCATTTGCTGCCCTATCCTATCTATGTAGGTAGTCCCACTCCTCTACTGTGACTATCATCGTAACCCAGTGGCGTGACGAGAAGACCGGAAAGCCCCACGCCCCAAACCCTGAACCCTTGAACTCTGAATGCCACCCGCAAACTGGAAATCTTGAAGTCCAGGGGTGCGTATGGGTGCGTATAAATGACCCGCCATGGTCTCCACTATTCATCCCCAAAGGGCTATGCTAAACTTCACCCTAAACCCTAAACCCCCAAACTCTGAATCACCCAATCCTAAACTTCAAACCCCAAATCCCAAACTCCAATCCCTAAACCCCCTAAACTCTAAACTCCAAATCCTAAACTCTAATCCCTAAAACCCCCTAAACTCTGAACCCCAAATCCTAAACCCCTAAACTCCAAACCCCGAATCCTAAACCCCTAAATCCCAAGCATCGGTGTTTGCTTCTTCCCGGTGCCAGGCCGCTGATCCCGCGTGAACTTGAGCTGCTCCGTGAGCCAGACGTCCACCTTCTCCTGCTTTTGGGTGGGCTTAGGGCTTAGGGTTTAGGGTGCTTTCAAGGAAGACTTACAGGAACCCTTAGGGATACCTTAAAGGTACTATAAGGATAAGGGTACTCAAAGGGTACCTTTGAGGGTAATATAGGCGTTCCTTTCAGGGTCACTCGACAGTAAGGGGGTACTTACTACAGTGGCCCTTTTAAGGATATTGCACGGGTGCGCTGTGAACTTTGGAGGCTACTCTAAGTAGTATAAATATAGTGGGACTCTAAGGGATGTAGCGTCCTGTATGGTTCCTGGAAGGGTTTGTTAGAAGGATGCCTTGATCAGGATTTCGAAACACTTGCACGAAAAGTTAGCGCCTCAGTGATCAGGCTGTTTCGTCGTGTTTCAACAAGTTAACAGTCTAGCACTGTGCACGGCAGGTACTCATTCGTCTGGACTACCACCAACCATTGTCAACGGGCCTATGCCATGAACAGTTGCAGCTCGCAGCAGTCCATGAAGAGAGGATCCGTCGCCACCCCTCTAGACATCCCTCAAGCAAAAACAGCACATCAGAGTCTCCTCCGCAGGCTTGTCGGTCCGGGTGAAGCACGCAAGGACCGACATCGTGCGGATCAGCCCATAGCCGGCCTACCCTCTTCACAGCGTCGTCTTAGACCAGGTCAGATTGGACTCGGAGCCGCTGGACTCTCTCAGAAATCAGATGTGGCGGCTGTTTGAGTAAGTACCTACAGCTATCCCCAAGCAGGCGGCCAGAATTTTAGCCTGGGGTGCAGACTGGCTTTTCGGAGTGTCGGTTGCTCCAATGAAGCACTTGAAAAGCATGTCTGAGCCTCGCAGCGACGCGTGTTCGGAAGATTGTTCCGGGTGCTGCTCACTTCCAAGCTTGCCCGGGCTTTTTTCTCCAGCTCGCTGTGGTGGCACAGTGACATCTTGGAGACAGTGATGCACCGAAACGAACTCTGAAACTTTGAGGAAGTCTCCAAGGAGCACGCAGCTGAAGGCTGGGTTTCGGCACCCCGTCTGCCAGTACGTGGGGAGTTCTCTAAATTAGGGTCCCTCTGAGGGTTCGTTTGATAAGCTACTAAGCTACTACGCTGGGGACCAAAAACCGGACCCTAATTTAGAGAACTACCCATGGTGGCGTTAGCAGCTCAGCTGGATCCCAGCACTCTCACTTAGGAGGCGGGAACTGAAGCTCCTCGAGGCTGTGCAGAGTGGTTCAAGGTATGGTTTGAGGCTTTAGGACTTGGGCTGTGGCTTTAGGCTTTCGGCTTTAGGGTTTAGGGTTTAGTGTGCATTTAGGGTTTAAGGTTTATGTCGGGTTTAGGGTTGTGGCTTTCTAGGGTTTATGAAGGACTTGGGCATCTGCTGTCCCCAATGCTAAGGTTGAAGATGCCGGGCCCGGCACGTGCTTGTAGCCAAAGATCTTGGTGCCGTCGCCTGCTGCGGCGACTTAAGGAGAAAACACAGCGTGTCGTGAAGGACCGGGGAGTGGTGGGTCAAAGGCGAAGTCAGAGTCCAAGATGCTGAATATACCTTAAATTAGAGGGGCCTTGAATATTATGATTTAAAGTATATTCCTTAATTAAGGGGTATTGGGCTATCTGGTTGGAACGGGTTGGGGCTTCGCATTTAGGATCTTTAGCACACTTCGGGCCTCAGAGTTTAGGGCCCGCCCTGAAATGCTAAAGCCCCAAACCCTCATAAGAACCCTCAAGGAACGCTCAAAAGGACCCCCTAAGCTCCTCAAAAGGAACCCTGAAGCTCCCTAATTCAAAAAAGGACCCCCCTTTCAAGGCACCCCCCACGTTCAAAGCCCGCCAGGCTCACCGAAGCCGGAGGAGGTCGTGCCACGGCCACCACCACCTCCCTGCAAGTCGCTGAAGACAGCTCCGAGGCCCCTTAGTTTAGGGTGGTTGGGGCTTCTTTGGGGGGGCGTTGAGGTTTCGTGGTTTAGGGCCTAGGGTTTAAGGGTTTAAGCTGTGCTTGATGGTGGGGTTAGAGTTTTTGGGTGGTTTGGTACGGTTTCGGAGTGGTTTAGAATCTCTTCTGGAGGTTTTCGGGTTGAAGGTTTTGAGGGGTTTAGGGGGGGGCGGCAAGGGTTGGGTTTCGGGCCTCTAAACGGGTGCTGCAGGGATTTGATCGGCTTCTAGAAGAAGCGTGTGGGATCTTCGAGCGCTTCGCTGCTACTCTTCAAGACTTTCGCTTGGGGAGACCACATCCTGGATGTCTTGGGTTCTAAATGAGGGTCCTACATGTTCTGCAACTTCGTTATCTAAAGAACCTGACCTGCAGAAAGTGTGTGCGCCTGCGTTTGCCTGCAGTAGCATTGCAGGCATCAAACAAACATGGTCTCCAAGACCATGCTGTCCTACATATCGGGAAAACGGCCGAGGTTCGTGAAGAAAGCAGGGGTTGCTTCCACGCCCTTATCTTGGGCTGGCTCCAAGAGCCACCGTGAGAAAAGCTTCTCCTTCAACACTGACCAGGGACCTTGCATTGCGAGCCTTGTGACCCTATATTTATAAATCCTTCTGCGTCATTTATCGGCGTTCATCCTGAAACAACTCTTGCCCACACTGTGCGCTGTGGCCACTGGAAAGGCAACAGCACCTGAAGATAACCAGCTCCTCGAAATCCCTCTGTCAAGGCGACAGAAGTCTGCCCGACACGCCAGACAGCCGAAACAAGCCTCAGGACGTCGATAGCTTCTTTGAGTAGGCTTGGATCCAGGCTCGTCGCTGTGAGAGCTAAGGATGTTGTGTGAAGCCTTCCGGATGAGAGATTGGCACTTGCTGCGCCTGCTGCGCCTGTCAGTCCTATTGCGAACCCTTAAGCGACCTTCGACTGTCTGAATACACAGCTCCTTGGGAATCACATTCCGATCGCCTCTAGAAGCTTCTTGGCCTCCATGCTGCCATAGCTCTCCTGATGGCAGGAAATGCATCTTCCGGTATTCTGCGACCGAGCAGGCGACATGTCAGCCAGCATCTTCGCCTGTATCTCAAGCTTCCCACCAGCTACTGGGATGTTCAACATTCGAGGCCCTTGTCTAGGCGTCCTTAACAGGTGTTACCGTTTAAGGTCTTTAAGGTCTATAGTATCTATAGTGTATAGAATATAGAACTGCACGCGTGGTTGCCAGAATTAGGCTGGCCGTCCCCGTCCTCCAAGTCCGAAAACTTCGTGCTACCTCCCAGCGTAAAGTCCTCGCCGGAGCTTGGGAGACAAAGAAATCAACAGGGCGTGTAATCCGCATCAGTCGCGCCTGAACCTGGGACCACACGATGTAGAGGGCATAGACCAGCAGAAGGACGAGTATCTGTTTACAACGGAAACTCTCTGGTACTGCTGACGGTGTGGGATGGCGTCGGAATCCAGCCACGCTCCCTAACAGAGTGTAAGGCCGCAGCGGCAACGAAGATGATGTCCACAACCTGCGCTTTTTTTCCGACATCCAGAGGCGATAGCAGCATGTCCCTGGCACCCGAAATATCCTCAAACCGGCCTCGATGACGCCGCAGATGTAGGCATTGCCTCCCTTTGCAGTCTCTGGAAGCCTGTACATTCGGCATGTCAGAGCGGTTGGAGCCATACCGAGAACCCCAGCAAATAGTTCCCTGGCCGAGCCTGCTGCATGTCAGCGAGAGGCCCAGTTCAACCACCGAATAAACACAAAGGCCCGCCTGCAAAAGCAACGCCGGATCAAAGCCACAAAGCTCGATTGGCGCGTCTGGGACCCCAGAACCCTAAACCCTAAACCCTAAACCCTAAGGTCCCAGAACCCCAAACCCTAAACCCTACTGATCTTCAGCTTCCCTGAGTCGTTGCCGGCTTCCCTCCCTGCATGGCATCTTCCCAGACTCGAAGGCACCGAGCACCGGACTGCCAGCACCAAGTAGAAGTTGTAGGCGCGAAGCGTGATCTTGGGGGCGCAGCATTAGGGATTTCTTAAAAGGGGATTAGGGGTTCCGGAAGGGCGGAGGGCCCCCTAAACATTTAAACCTTAAGCCCTAAACCCAAGACCCGATTGATCCCATCTGCGCAGACACCACCACCCTACCGACAAAGAAATGATAGATTAGATCAGATCAGATTAGATGGGATGAGATATGATGAGACTAGAATAAATTAGCTAGGATTTACTAGGATTAGAAAGGATTAGATAGATAGATAGATAGATACATAGATAGATAGATAGATAGATAGGCAGGTAGGTCGGTACGTAGGTAGATAGGTAGATGGATGGATAGACGAATGGATAGAGAGCTTAAGAAAACAAGGGACCTTATATCAGGAAACTCTAAACATGAGGATGATCCGTATCATAAGGACCCGTGACACCAAATGTCCCCAAGTGTTGGCAACCGCCCCACATGGCAGCTCGGGAACTTCCAAGCAGCGACGCAACATGACGCAACTCAGTAGACCCCTATAATCCCTATAATAGGTTTAGGATTTCAAGGGCTTAGGATGTAGTGGCGTTTGGGGCTCACCCTGGACCCTAGACCCCAAACATGTTCAAGTGCGGCGGGGCGCCTCATCCTTTCGGACCACGCCATGGATTCCAAAGCAGATGAAGGGCCTCAGAAGAGCTGCAGAGCTCGATTTATATGGGGTGGTGGGTTAGGGTCCATTCTAAAAGGAGGAAGAGAGCCGAGAGGAAATACACGGAGCTGAAACTGCAACTACGTTTTCAGGCTTAGACTTTAGGGTTTAAGGTTTTTTTTTTGACACCTCTTTTAAGGGGTGTAGGGTTTAGGGTTTAGGGCTTTCTTGGCCATCTGAGTCGGCGGCAGGCTAGCAAGCGCAAACGCCGTGAAGAAGATCTGCCAGCCAGCTTACGAGTCCAAGTGTGAAGCTTCAAGGTCACACATCCTGCGTCCCCTCTCATACTCTCATTCTCCATTCAATGGCCCAAAACTTCATAGGGCCCTTGCTGGATGATAGGGTTCTTCAATAAGGCTTGAGCAGGCTTATACGGGTTGTAAGAGGCTTCGTGCAAAAGGCTTTGCAGGATTACACCGGTTTTTAAGGGTTCGAGCAGATGTCTCTAATCCCCTTTTCCGAGGCTCCAAACCCAACTGGCCTGCATCGGCAAGCTTGCTACAGCCGCAGCCTCCTCGGGGTAGAACAGAGCGCCAACCTTGGTTTAGGGTTTAGGGTCTAGTACGTGAATGTAGTGCGGTGTGGTCAGGGTCCAATGTCAGGAACCCAGGACACACCCACATGTGTCTGCAGGAAGACAAACAGACGGTCAGACAGACAGACAGAGGGAATGAGCAGACGGGTAAGGAGCCTGATAGACCAAATTGGAGGCTGAAGTTGCATGCACTGTTTGCTTATGGCATTCACTGGGCTACAGGCACAATGATTCCACTTTCGTCGTACAACAAGATAGACTTACATTGCACACTCAAGTATGCCTAAGTCATTGAACTGGCGCGATTTTCCAGATTGTCGGATTCACCATGTCCGCTTCTGACCTGCTGAGTTCATAAGCCCCAAAAGGAATTCACTTATCCCGAAAAGTGTAAAGTGTACTCATGCAGCTAGTATAGGCTTCGAGCATTTATGCACTGAGCACGTATCCAAGCTGCTTGATGCATCCGATCCCTTTAGGACCCTGACCGCTCGCACTGCGGTGAGTGCAACCAAGATGACGTTGGCCTTGGGAGGGAGTTGACGAGACCAAAAACACGTGCTCGATGTCCACACCGTTGCATAATTGCAGGTATCCCGCTTGAGCATGCGAGCTGGTTTAACCGTGCCGAAAACCCAACGCATCTAGGCATAAAGCAAATGCAACCGCCACGAGACAGTTGATACCTTGACCTTGACCCACTCGTGATAAAGGCGAAGATGACAGAGCTGATGCTGGTGCGACAAATGAAACACCTTCTGCAGTCGAAGATGGATGCAAGATGGCAAGCTTTGGGTGGTCTTGGTGCTGGCAGCGATTAACGATGATGATGGGGTTGAGGATGGTGAGGATCACGAACACAATGAGGACGATGAGGAAGATCGGCGATGGGCAAGATGCGGAAGATGAAGAGGCGAAGGACGGATGACACGAGCATCAGCATCATCACCACCGAAATCACCATCATCGTCATGACGATGAACAAGATCCACGCCGTTTTTCTGATATGATGATAGAAGACGACGTCATGACGACACTAATAATGGTTGTAATGCTGACGCTGTTAGTGAGGATTGTGACGATGTGAGGACGACAAAGACAAGGATAGCGGGTGATAAGTGCTAGTGCTGCTAGTGGTAATCGTGCTGGTGACGGTCGAGAATAAACGAAAGAACACCGTGCAAATGCAGTCTTTACCAGTCCTTGCATCAAACTTCTGTCAGTGCTACTGTCTCAGTCTTAGCTCTACAACGATAGGTACGATCAATGAGAAGTGCAAGGTGCTCAGCTGGGGCATGCACGAGAATCACCAGACTTGTCCCGAGCCGCAGCGAGCAGCCACAGCAGAACCTGTCGAGCGCTTGTTGCGTCTACAGCCGTGGGTGTGGGGTGTCCGTTGTCACAGACAGGCGGACGGGATCGTCATACCACGACCGTATTTTGAGCCTCCGCCGGCGATCTTTCAAGCGTTTGTATAGCCGGCATCATTATTCTGCTCGGGCTATGGCCCACCCCTCGTCTTGCTGAATGGAGACTTACTTGTACTCTGACATTCTGAGCCTCCGGCTGATTTGCTGGCAGACAGCAGAACATGGCAGGCACAAGAACGGCGCCGAAGATGCCTCACACAGGCAGAGACGTCAGGCAGCCACGCAAATCCATGATTCCACGATGCATGCACCCACTCTCTGCTGCTACGACAGGGCGGCTGTCTCTGGCTGGCGTGGTCCATCGACACCACGTGTGTCGCTTGAGCTTACAAGAGTTGAACTGGGGGTGGGCGACCGGTCCGCCTTGCCGGCGCTTGGCTGGTTTCATCCGGTTCGTGAGGGTCGCCCTCTGCAGCTCTTCCGAAACCCCAATCCCAGGCTGCACGGCTTCGGGCTCCGTGGTAGTAGCATGAGCGAAGGCCCCCACTCGTTCTTCCCTTCCTTGCTTCCTTCCTGCACTCCCTTCTTGCGGGCATAGTATGCTAGAATGGAAAAATGACCCCCAAAGGAAAGGTATTGGAAATTATTCAGGCACCGTCCATGCAGCCCAAGGAGCAACTTCGCGCCAGGGCCACGCAGAGGCCCCTCAAAGGGGGCCTGTATGTTTCAGTCTCAAAAAGTTCCGAAGACTCGTAAAGCTGCGGCGCAGTCAAGGTAAACAGCGAATGAGCACGAGTGGCATCCGTGCAGGAACTGACAATCATCTATCAAAGGCTTCACATGTGAGAGTTTCAGAATCACGGGACCATGATACAGACCCTGAATGATGCGGTGCTTGCGACAAGACGCCCTCGGGATATCTAACTTCCGAAACCCCGATGTCTAGAATCCAAGCCCCCAATGTGATCGCTACGCAAACAAAAGCACATGAACATCAATCCTAACGTGGGAACCTGACTAGAACCCCCTGCTTCCATAACCACATACAAGGAGGAACCTTGTGAACAACCCGGATAAGAGGCAGGGTTTCTGAACAAGGTTCCTACACTGATGCAGAGGCAACGACAGAAATGCTCGCCACACGAGGTACTCTGCCTTTGAAGCTAGCAAGAGCGTCCGACCACATCTGCAAGCACCGTATGAATCCAAACCCCAAGGACCGACCCACTTTTGTCAGCTCGCCGCTGACTTCCTGTCGTCAGCCGTTGCGGTTGGCGTTGTTCGCCGGTGGCCTGGGGTACACAAGCTCCTTTTCGCGCCCACCATGCCTACATGGCCGTGTTAGACAATCGGGGGCCCTCACATCAACCCTAAATAGCGAACTCCTGATTTTGGGGACGAGCCTTGAAGCAAACACAGGGAAAATCCACTTCTGCATGGTACATACTTGCCTTTGCCACTCACCTGGGCATGAGGCAGACGGACAGCAATAGGGAGTCCCTAAACACCCGTCATTTCCGGAAGCACACCCGGGCACCCGGCAGGAGGAGGATGCTGGCAGTAAGTCCCTGGAGAAACCTGCGAGAAACCATCAGCAGCTACGCAGTTTTTAGGCTTCGGGATTCTTCCGGACCCTATGCTTTCGACAGTTCAGGAAGTGAGGCTTTGGGTTTTGAGATTATTAAGGCCTTGGTCTTGAGAAATCTCGCGTTCTCTCGTTTAGGACGCGAAGGGAATGAATATCTGGATAGTATTCTCTGGTCCCGGTGGTCGAGACAGATATCACGGAGCAAGCTTGAACACATAATGAATGCTGGGCATTTTCCACCAATCATGGACTCGCCCTAACCTCCCTCCCTGGCCTTGCGTAAATGTATGCAAGTAGTCGGAGGAAGAATATGGGAAGGTTGAACTTGTCCGCGTATGCGAGAAGAACCAAGCCAACCACCTGCAGCAACCAAAGGCAAGCCCAAGCTGCATGCCTGAACATTCCTTCACACTGATCATTGCATCGCGGCTGATGCCAGCCCATCACAGCATGCAACTGAGCCTCCAGACACGAACCACCGAGGCCGCGACCCCACAGAGGCACGTCTTGGCGAACATCTGGAAGTGTTTCGGCCTGCGGCGAGGCTGACAAGACTTCTGCCTTTGAATCGCGCAGCGCCAAATGCCCCCGCCTCTTCGTCCAAATGGACAAAACTGCCATGAAGTAGTAAACAATGCCAAAGAGGACCTGCGAACCAATGCTGCTGCTGAAACTCTGACAATAGCGACTGCAACTGCAGCGGCTGCTGCTTCTACTTCTACTTATACTTACTCCCGCTCATGACGACTACTACGACGACTACGACGACGACGACGATTGCTGCTACTACTACTACTACTACTACTACGGCTACTACGACTACTACGACTACTACTACTACTACTACTACTACTACCACTACTGCGACCGCTGCTGCTGTTTCTGCTGCGCTACTGCTTCTGCCGCTACGGCAGCGTCTTCAACATCTCCCGCCTCAACTCCTGTTTGGGCTTGTACAAGTAGTTATAACGTCACGGGTGAATCCTTGGCAACGCCGCAAAGAAGAACTCGACTGCCACGGTCGAACGCCGCTAATGAAGGGGCCATATTCATTCAAAAAGGGTTCCGGTGTGCGTTCTACTGTAATTCGAACAACGAAGCCTAAGGAATAGTATTGCTGGTTATTCAAGCTTCTATTCTACATGTTGTTTTACTTCTGCTTCTGCTACCCTGAAGACAATGCAGACAACACAACTGGCGCTAGCAGATTAGAAACTACCGACGTTTGAAATGGTAAGAGCGAGTAGACTCACCAAGCAAGAACAGAGGAGGACAGACATGACATGCAACACAGTGTCTCCTTTGAGCATGTTCGTGTGCCATTCTGCCATGGAAACATGGGTCACGTTCTCGGAAGTCGGACAACCCCTGCTGTGCAACTCGAGTACAACATGGGCACAGCACGTGGTCAAAGCATGCCCAGCGACATAGCATTCAAAGGCCATCAGCTGATCCCATGGCACACACCAGCGAGCTCCTGTGCATGCAAGCTATCATCCAGAACTGGCCTGGATCACCAAGGTCGTCCAAAGGATGGCCTGCAGTCCCAGGCCAGGGCTACGACGGCTACGAGCTTCCGAACTCAGAGTACGGACGCCAAACGACCAGCCTCTGCTGTTTTGGGGGAGATCTCCCAGTTGTACATGGCTTCCAACTCAAACATAGACCTGAGACTCTGAGAAGGCGTGACGGCATTTGTTCAAGGAAGGTGGTGGCAAAGAGTCGCCCAAATTCTCATACAGTAAGTAGAGTTTGGCGTTCCAGTGTTCGGACCTTCGGGTTGCGGCTCTAGGCTCAGGGCTTATCTTCCTTGAGGCCCAGACGGCCGCATCCGCACGACGAAGACCGCTGCATAAAGCGACTGGCGCGATGAAATACAACGAAACACAACACGACATCATTGCTGGGCACATCTGGGCACATGTGTATGATACAGAGACTTATGCATACCCTGGCAGTCATGCAGCTGTGCAGATACATGTCGTACAGATGTAGAAGATTTGAGGTTCTACCTGAGGTCCCTATGTCAGACAAAAAGCACAAGGTGGCAGACTTGTTCAACAATACCGTACAGGATGTTGTTAACATTTGTCGCACGCATCGCGACCTGTAAGACTTGTACGGCATAGGCATAGTACACCGGACATGAAATAGCGAAAACACCGTGATGGAGGCATTGGGCTACAAAGCGTAGATCATGTCGCACAATGTACGGCGTAGTCTTGGATCACCTACTGTGGTTAAATGTAGTGAAGCCTGACATAAGATAACGGAAAGGTAGGCCCTCAAAGATAACAAGTTAAAGCATGGCGCAATGTGGGAGATGTAGGATAGTGAAATAATGCAGTATCAGCTGGTACACTGCGATGCGAGTGAACAAAGCAAAGCCGCACATTGTGACAAAGATTTGATTTTGGTCTTCACGCTCCCAATCCTCAGAAGTTGCGTAACTTTGGCAGACCAGCAAAATACAGAACGAATCTCTAACGAAACATGGTACAGCAACGCAAAACATGCAGCCTGGGCAATCAATAGAACAAGGCTGCTCATCAGTAGAATACAGGCCGTGGAAATAAGCATGCCACTATGCCCAGCTTACACGGCAAAGTGATACTCAGCAAATGAAGCATACCACTAGCAGCACTAGCACAACGAACACGAAGCTGTGCATTAAATCAGATGGTATGCACCAGAAGGTGTTAATGGCATTGAACGCTGGAAGGACATCCAAAGTCCACAAAGCGTCACACAAAACTCCACACAAAACTCCACTGATGCATGGGCGCTTCGGCTCCATGAACCCGTCCTGAAACACATGAGGACCCTAGGCTTCTGATCCAGTGCCTCCAGAACAAATTGTATGAACAGGAGCAGCATGAAGACACGCTCATGTCGCGAGTACAGGAACTCCACCTGCCGGCGACGGCCAGAGCAAAACTGCAGAAGAGCTGAGGTCGCTGGCGACAGTCCGCTCGTTGACTCCGGCTCAACGACAAATTGTCCTAGATCAATGCCAGGAGCCCCGTATAAACCCTATTGAAAAAGGTTCTACGCCTGATTTAGTAGAAAGTACATGACCCTGTAGAACCCATAAGACAAAACCTGAAAGCCCGTAGGAAAACCTGCATAGTACGATGTTGGCAGTCTTTGCCTCTTGAGACATGCTGATGCCATTGGCATTAGAGCCGCTTCCACTGCTATCGCCTTGGTGCTCTCGTGGCCAGAAAATGGTCGCGATGGTTTGAACAATCATCATAGTGGCAAGAAGGAAAATGGTACTTGTGCGAGTGGAAAGAAAAACCCACAACAAAAGAGTCAAACAGTAATTATAGAACAAAGCCTACTTCAAGGAGCAAAGGGACTACCATTGACACTACAAAAGCTGCAGTACATCTCATCTGTTGATCGCTTTTGGGGGGTCTGGGCAGCTTCATTGCACATGTGCAGGCTTCTCGGTTAAGATCTGTGACGTTTCTGTTTCGCGGGTTCTCTTCCGACTGCGTTGCCTGGACGCAATCTTGCAAGAGGAGCCGGGGTCAGAAATTGACATGGCTCCATACGACACAATTGGATGAAGCAACGACTTGCCTCAGCATGGATATAGGTGCTCAAAACGGCTCAGGGCTTTAGGGATTACTGGTCCATATTGATGTTATGTGGTTGGCCGTACATTTACCTTTATCAGACCTTTGCAAAACAGAAGTGCGCTAAGGCTGTCGCTGTCTCCGTCATTGGACCTGCCAAGCACAGGTCGAGTTCAGGGGTTTAGACATGGTGCAAGCAGCTCCAGGCAGATTCTGAGAACTTCTCGCAGTGCTGAAAGCTCAGCCAGCACTCTAGGAGCAATGCTCGCGTCGTCCTCGGTCGCCCCGATCTCCTTTCGGCCTGAAACAATCCAAAGTGATTGAAACATGTCACGGCAAGGTCTGCGATTCAGACAGATTCACCGAGGATTGCCTGGCTTGCTTGGCATCGGAAGGAACAGCCTGCCCGCTAGCAGCGCTCGCACAAGTGAGGGTTTTCATGGCACAGTTGGACAACGTTGCCAAGTTAGAAACCCACAATCAAACACTGCTGGCCTCTGTGATGGAACCATCCGGGTTTTCCACGAAGATGGGACCATGGACCATCCTCAACCCAAGCGTCAACACCCGCCAGACCCTTTCGCTTTCGGTGGGATTCCCTAGACCCGAAACCCCTGTCCCTGGCTCTACTCTGTGGCCCCCACAGCCTTCCTTGAGCAGGAGGAGCCGCATCCTGTACGCCGGGCTTGTTTGCCAAGAAAGCCCTAAGAGGAAACCTTATAGTAGCAACCCTTGTAGAAACCTGAAAGCGTTACGAGTGATGGGTATAGATGTTATAGAGACCAATAGACACCCGTACTCGGTAACCCCGCTAGATTTGCCTGCCTTCTCCTTCATGTTGGGCTTGGAGCATGTGCCATACTCCGGCGTCGGCCCACTCATGGAGTGGAGGGTCACCTGATTTCCGCCAGGGTTCAGGGTAGAGTTGAGGGTTGAGGTGTTGGTCTCTTGGGAGTAGAGAGAGAATAGCTGTCCCGCCTGGCCGGCTGACAGACTCGTCACCGATCCAGGTGCTTTCCTTGGGTCAAGGCGGAAGCAAAAATACAAAAAGAAGCCACAGCCCTTTGGGGGCCTTTGGCCACTTACACTCAATAAATGCTGCACATGCTTGCCCACACCTCTGCAGCCAGGCTTCTTGCAAGCGGCGCGTGCGTGAGGAGCTGTGGGGTGTCACGCTCCATGGACCATTTGGCCCCCACGCACAGCGCGCTCTTTAAGCCAAGTTCGTGAAGAGCGCTTACACGCAAGACCATGCAAGGCCACGCTGTTGACCACGCAAGGACACTGGCGGCTCATGGGGTCACGTACGAGTACGCCACTTAGTGATGTTCTAACCCGAAGCCACTACCATCGAACAAGCCTTGTCGTAATGTCGTCCTGCAATGTCCTGCTCTTCTTTTCCTTCCGCACCAGACTCGGCAAGCTGGTTCAGAGTGGTTCTGAGAGCTACCCAAGCACTTCTGGCTTGCATTCCCTGCTTGTGCAGGGCGTGCAGCAGCAATCAACATGCAGGCTCGCCACTCTGACATGAGAGCAGCACGCCCTCCCTGCATTGCATCAGAGCTCACCTTGCCGATTGACCAGTCACTACACCTCACTCTGATCAAGTCGCAATTCGTGTGTCGGCGGCGGGCAGTACACGTCTGGGTGCTCCGGCCGCAAGAGCACGTCCCCTTTACATCTCACGGAACTTGTCCGGTAGCACTCGGGAACAGAAGCTTCACGGAGGTTGGCGTCTTGAGGCTGCTCGCCATGCCGGCACTGGACTCCTCAGAGGGTGTGATGGCCATGATTGCCTCGCAGGGAATCCCATCTTCATCAGACTCCAGATTGGTGCTCGAGGCCGCACCCACTTCTTGCGTTCTTCCGCGTAGGAAAGCGGCCGCCAGGTTCTGCGGTCGTCGGTGCTGTATGGGTAGATGAAGCCCCCCGCCTGAAGCCTTAATTGGCATGGCCTTCACGCTGATCGTCTCATTTTTGTTGGTAGAACTCTGCTGCTCCATCCTCCAGAGTGGTGAATTCCAGTCGTTGCCCTTGTTGCGACCCCTCCGCCGGCCGGGGATAAGATTCGATAGGCTCCGGTTCTCCAACAGCCAGGTGACAACCTTGCGAGGACACGCCCAGCCGGCCACCACTCCCGACACCAAGGTCTTCTTGGACTCGGAGTAGCTGAGGATGTACTTCTTCCCCCCGTCATATTCCTCTCCAAGGCCTCCTCCTTTGGTTAATCGCCGATAGTAGACCTTGCCCTGCAAGGTTTTGTACCATACATACAGGTACGTGACCATCACGACCGAACCCTTCTCGTCCGTCTCCTCCTGCTCCTCTTCGCGAAGGAAGTCGTATGGCGGTGTCTGCTCAATGGAGTGCTTGATGCTCACCAATTTCGGGACACTGCGACCCCTGAGCCACGCGCAGAGCTTGTTCGGCAAAGGACGGACTCTGTCTGCAGCGGGCCCCGGGATTTTCATCGACGGGCTGCAGAAGGTGCCAGACAGGTAGTCGTAGGGTAAGGGCCTCCAAGCGTCACTGATCTCGGGCCTCTTCTCCTCTGCGATGTTCTGTCTCCAACGGTAGATGCCATCATCCGACTCCTCGAAGCGCACGCGAAGGTAGGGCCCAGGGACATCCTTGTCGCACTGGTCAGGGTCCATCTCTCCGAACTCGATGTAGCTTGGAGTGCGGCCCAGATATCGTGGGCAAGCAGCGACGTAATCACGGGCGGTCTCCTCCAGTCCCTTATACTTGTCAGTGCTGCCCAGGTCCTCGTTGGATAGGGCGATGAACCACTCCCACAGCCGCAGGACCGAGAAGACGTCACTCTCCAGTTTGTGGGCTCCCATAAGTGCATAGAACATCTTACAAACCTCCCTGGTGGTTCCGATCTTCTTCCTGGTGCCCAAATCGATCAGCCCGGTCTTGATGAGCAGGTCTGCCATGCGCTGTGGATCGCGACGGAAGCTTGCCTGTTCGTGGTCAAATGAAGACATCTGCTCATCTCAACACGCAGCGAGATGCTCTCTGGAACTGCGGCGCCTGCACTCCGCTTTAAGTCTTCGTAGTTTTGACCTGAGCGGAAGGAAAACACTCAAGCTCATTGCCAAGACTACGCCTGATACATTCATTGAGCGATTCCGCTTGCCTACCCACGCTCCCACTATGACGCTTGCGAAAATATAATGTCATATAACGGAATAGAATAGAACAGAGCACAAAAAGATTGAATAGAATAGAACGGAACAGAACAGAAGAGTATAGAATAGAACAGAATATAATGTAATGTAATGTAAATTAAATGTACATGTAATGTAATGGAACAGAATAGAAAATAAGTTAATATACCATGAAGTGTATATATAGTGGCGATGACTCATATTGGCAGATGCTAGAGCCATGCTGTAGGTACGGCGGGAAGTTCGCGAAGCCATGGTTTCTCAATGTTTCTCGAAGCCTTGTCAGTCCAGATCCTCACACCTCCAAAAGATACGGGCCATCGTGCACAAAGCACCCCCAAAAAGCCTTTCATGCGCTTCTAAGCTTGGCAACCTCATGACTTCAAGCACCTTCGAGGGCAGCAGCCAATAAACCAGCACGACAGCCCGGGCTCGCACGTGCAGCTTTGTAATTTGGATGGTCAGCTCCAAGCGTCCTGAGGTATCGAGCAGTTTCAGCAGTCAAGGAGCTGTGGATGCTCGGCGTTCTTTCAGAACCGGAGCACCGGAAACTACTCGTCCTCTCCAGGCCATCTGTCGCAAGCTCGAACAGCTCCCTAGCCTGCAAAGTTGCAGTACTTCGGGCTCAAGATCTGTGTGCGTGAAGCGATTGTGCCTCCTGGTGCCGTCCAGCCTCATGAAGCGCCGACCTGCCACAAAAACTCACTAACCGAGTTCACACAGACATACATCATGCTATACCACGTTAACGGTAACCTGTTCCGGAAGAGCAAACAGCTGCATCTATTCGGCTAAAACCAAGAGTGGCAGCATGCTTGTGGAAGAAGCATCCGGTCTGCCGGCCAAGGGTAGGCTCAAGCGACTGGTAGTGTCAATTCAGCCAGCTGCGCGCGAGGTTGCTCGCTGCCGCCAGTGCATTGGGGCTGCTGGCCCCTGACAAAGTCGTAGGGTCGCAGGGGCTGCATTGTGGCAGAAAAGCGCCTTCCCGTACAGAGAGGGACCTCAGATCCACATCTTGCCGTCGCAAGCTCCAAACAAGGCCTGCTGGACTTGCGCCGGAAAACTTCGGGGCTCCCGCTCGTAGACGAAGCGGAAGTTGACCTCGGCCTCATGAACCTTCCAAACTGGTGAGTCGTGGTTCCGACATATTGAATTGGATGTGCTCATACTTCCAAGTCCTTGCATCCAACAGCACCGGCCAAATAACACCCACGACAGCCCCGGACCATGACTTTCACATCACCATCTGCGACCTGCATGCTTCTCCCTAAGCGAAATCTGCTGCAACGGGTCCCCGTCCTTGTTCTGGATGCGTAAACTGTGAGCCAGGTCGCTGCGCCCCTTTGCAGCAGGTCGCATGCTGGTTGGTTGACATCCACCCCCAATTCGACACGTGAGTTCATCGCGTTGACCTTTTGCTTCACAAGGAAATGAAGCAGAGGCCTGCAGCAAGTTCTGAGTCGACACGGTTGGCGCCTCACGGGGCCGGTCACACAAGCCATGGCGGCGATCTCACATGCAAACTATATAACCGAAGCACAACTCTGATCTACCTTGCGATTCGACTTAGCTACCCCTCCCAGCTATGTGGCCGCATCTGCTCATCTCCGTTGTTTGCATAACGTGCGCATATCATTCGCGCAGTTTCTCGCGCGCGCGCGCAGAGTGAACCGCAAGGCCATGCAATGCAACCTACTGCAAGTTATCGTGCAATGTACCGCAATGTAATGCAATTCAATGTAACTCAATGTAGTGTGATGTAGTTTAATGAGATGCAGTGTAACGCAAGGTAATGCATCTGAAGCATTTTGCATAATGCAATGTAATGTAATGCAACGTTTTGCAATGTTATGCAATGTAGAGCAATGCCATGCAGTGTCCATCAATGCCAGGTGCACTGTATTGCAAAATGCCACGCAGCGTCCTGCAATATTGCGCGACATGTAATGCAATGTCAGATAATGTTTTGCAAAGTGACGCAAGGTAGTGCAATCAGTGTAATGTAACGCAAGATGGCGTAATGTATGTCAATGTAGCGCAATGTCACATCATGCAGTGTTCTGCGACACAACCATCCCATGCAATGTCACACGACCCAGCGCAACTAGACGCAACGCAACGCAAGGCATCGCAATGCTCATGAACTGCACTGCTGTGTAGTACTAAACTACAAGGCGATGCAGTTTCATACGATGGGATGTCAAACAGCATCGTGCAATGCAATGCAGTGCAGTGCAATGCAGTTCAACTCAACAGTGCAAATGTTTCAGCGTGGCACAGTGCGATGTAATGTTATGTCATGCATTGTCAAACGCATCTTCATGCAACATCGTGCGAAGCCGTCTGACATCATGTAGCGCCATGTGAATCCAATGTCATGCTGCTGCAACTCTTCTTGGTCCCATCTCATAGCAGCGAGTCGTGACATGTGTGTGGTCAGTCAAACGTGATTTGTTGTCTGTCGGTAATGTATTGGAATTTACAATGAATATATGACAAACAAATCTTTATTGGTTCAGTGGTTGAACACGGCCGTTCAGGACATCGGGACAGCAACAAACTAGCTCAAGGAAAGCACCACGGATCCCTGCACGGAGCATACGCTCAGAAGCCTGACATATTAAGTCTTATGCCAACACATACGGACCCTGAACAAGCTCTCTAGCTTTTGTATGCGCAAGCCTTTTTCCTGCATGATGCTTCTAGATCTCCTGTAATTCTGCAAACTGTATCTGAGCTTTGCAAGCCTGGTAAACGCTTCATCTCAGCATACTCACCTCGAAATTTTTCATTTTTCGAAAGCAGTGGCTTGACGTAAGCTCTACAAAACCCTTGCTATTCACACACAAAGCCTTGAGGCGCAATGTGCCATAAGCCTCATAACCCTTTGGTATGATGGTGTGTAGCTGCAGTGTAGCTTCCTTGCAAAAGGCACAACGCGAGCACCTCAAACCTGTAGCATACCTGTGCGAACGCACACGGCCACAGTAAACAAGCGATTCAACTACGCACGTTACTTCTTTCGCAGAGTCTCGCTGTTTGTGAAATGCATGGTGACTGATAGAGGCATCATGCAAAAGAAGCAGCTCGCCTAGCGTATCGCAGAACCGAACCACATGGAATCTTCCAAGTCGCTAAGTGCTGCAAAGCACCCTCAGAGGGGCGTCTCAGAGAGAATTGGATGCGTTTCATCAATTCGCGTTCAAACGCGGGTCGAGCATCCAAACAGGCCTTCTGATTGCTTCATGAAAACTGTTGAACAGACGTGTCTCAAGCGGTCAGCTTTCAGCTCTTCAAAGTGATTCAACATGCAAGCGCTCTGTGTTACAGTGTGGGCATGTGTGGGCTACATGCCAAAAGGTACACGTGCGAAGTGCAATGCTTTCCACCAGCCTCGCCAGGATCCAAATACTCTGCATTGTGCGCTTTCAGGGGAAGAAGCAGTGACTTATAGCCTGATCTATCAAGTAGCATGCATGTACTGGCAGCCCAGGAAACAGTCGGATGATACATCTCCGCATATACAGCCACAGCATTGGCATGCGTCAGTTGTTACTTGCAACTTTTTCAGCTCCGAAGTGACATGTAGTCTTCAAGATTCTCCACAACTGATACTGTGGGTCAACTCGATAACATGCAAAAAGATGTCTATGTCTGTGTGTGTATATATATACATATAAATACATACATATACATATTCGTGTGTACAACACAGGGACACAGCGAGATGGATCGATTGACAGATGGATAGACAGATAGATAGCCAGGTAGATAGATAGATACACAAATAGCTAGATAGATAGATAGATAGATGGACAGATAGATAGACAGAGAGATAAATAGGCAGATAGATGCATACCTACATGCGACACACAGAGAGAGAGAGAGAGAGACCTCTTGGTACATTTATCCTCTGTAAACCAGCACAAGCACGCAGATGTGCGCGCAGGATGTTTGCATTATGCGCGTAATTATGCGTATATGCATGCATATATATATATACACATATATATATGTATATGTATATATATATATATACATACATGTATGAATGAATGTATGTATGTATGTATGCATGTATGTATGTAGGTATGTATGTATGTACAGGTGTGCACATAAACGCAGCAGCATGCCATCCGCCTCGGCAGTCTGCACGGCCAGGATTCGACGAAGCACCTTGAACTCCAAATGGCTCCCCAGACAACAAAGACCCAACATGAGGGCTGCCAAGCAAACAAGCTCGTGTCACCGATTCGCATGGCGCACAAAACACACACAAAACCTGTCTATGCAGGCGCATTATTCGTGTCAGCACACACCGACAGCATGCTATGATGATGCCAAAGGCTTAACAACCAGATTGCACTAAGGTGAAGCGCTCACAGTAGGGATTACCCTCAACCGCGGCAGGAGCAACATCTACGCGCGCAACTGAAGTGTGCTTCATGCAGTTGCTGCCACAGCCGTGACTGAAAATGCAAAACATCCGTCGCTTTTTGCAAGTGGTACGTACTGTATGCATAAGAAGTAGAACCCAGCAATGTGCTACAGCCTGGCAACCTTGCACCCAAGTTTGGCTGGGACGGTCTTGCGCTGGTGGGGGGGAGGAGCCGGCACAGGGTTTAGGATCGCTCACCTGGCACGTCCTGGCCGGTGGATGCAAATTCTTGCCTCCTGCCACCATTCAACCTTGAGCTGCTTGCGCAAAAGCCTGGCATATGTGGACCTTGAGTGCAGAGCCCCCCCCAGGAATATTCAAGAATCTT